TAAAGTGGCTAGTCGTGGGTTAAGGAATCTCCTTAGTTCGTGGCTCGTGATTCTAGAAGGGTCAAAGTTCCGCAAATCATCCCAACTTGGTGTTCGTCTAGATCCGTCTCACATCAAGCTGTCCTAATGCAAGAGGGCAAACCAATTGCATACTTTAGTGAAAAACTCAATGGGGCAGTTTTGAACTATTCCACTTATGATAAGGAGTTGTACTCCTTAATCCGTGCTTTAGAAACTTGGCAACATTACTTGAGACCAAGGGAATTTGTCATACACACTGACCATGAGTTGCTTAAGCACATTAAGTCACAACACAAGTTGAATAAGCGTCATGTTAGGTGGATTGCATTTATTGAAACCTTCCTTTATGTGATTAAGTAAAAAGTGGGGAAAACTAATGTTGTTGCTGATGCATTATCACGCCGGTACTCTTTGCTCACTCAACTTGATGCAAGGTTGTTAGGATTTGAATTAGTTATAGAGTTATACACCAATAACCCAGATTTCTCAGGTATTTATGACTCATGTGGTTCAGCAATTCAAGGTAAATTCTACATCCTTGATGGATTTCTTTTCTACCTCAATCGACTATGTATACCTAACTGCTCTATTCGCTCTTTACTTGTTAGGGAAGCACACGGAGGTGGTTTGATGGGACACTTTGGCGTGGCTAAAACCTTAACTATCCTTCAAGAGCACTTCCATTGGCCAAGGATGAAGCGAGATGTGGAGCGAATGGTGGCTAAATGCATCACTTGCCACAAATCTAAGTCTAAACTTCAACCCTATGGCCTTTATAGTCCTTTACCTGTACCTAAGGAACTTTGGACCGATATTTCCACGGATTTTGTTTTAGGATTGCCTAGGTCAAAGAGGAAAAATGATAGCTTCTTTGTTGTTGTTGACATATTTTAAAAAATGGCATATTTTATACCATGTCACAAAACAGATGATGCATCGCATATTGCTGATTTGTTTTTCAAAGAAATCATTAGATTGCATGGCATGCCTAAGACAATTGTCTTTGATAGGGATGCCAAATTTTTGAGTTACTTTTGGAAAACTTTGTGGGGAAAATTGGGTACCAAATTGCTATTTTCTACTACTGATGGCCAAACTGAGGTTGTCAATCGTACACTATCTACACTCTTGCGTGCCATCATTAGAAAAAATATTAGAACCTGGGAAGAGTGTTTACCCCACGTTGAGTTTGCATACAATCGCATGGTGCATAGTTCTACTCATTTTTCACCATTTGAAATAGTCTATGGTTTAATCCTTTAACACCACTAGACTTATCACCTTTACCTTCTTCTGATCACATTAACATGGATGGTGCTAAACGAGCAGATTTTGTCAAGAAATTACACGAGCAGGTACGCCTAAACATTGAGCGAAGAATGGACCAAGTTGCTCAACGGGTTAACAAGGGACGCCAACGCGTCGTGTTTGAACCCGGTGACTGGGTGTTGTTACATCTACGCAAGGAAAGGTTCCCAGTCCAAAGGTGCAATAAATTATTTCTCCGAGGAGATGAGCCATTTTAAATCATCAAGCGCATCAATGACAATGCTTACAAACTGGACCTACTCGGTGAGTACAATGTGAGCGCTACATTCAATGTCTCTGATCTATCTCCTTTTCTTGTAGATGATGAAGCTGATTTGAGAACAAATCCTTTTGAAGAGGAAAGGGATGATACGAACCAAGGGACACCATTGCGAACTATTCGAGTTCCCTAGGACCCGTGACTCAAGCACGAGCTAAGAAAATGAGGGAGGAACTCCAAGGGCTTGTTCGTGAGATACAAGGCCAAGAAATTGTTCCCAAGGTCATTGAGGGACTTGAGCATGAAGGAATGAAGGTCATTCATGTAGTGCACGTCAAAGAGAACAATGTGTGACCCTTCTCTAGTCACATTTGCTGTTTTAATTAAGTTATTATAATAAGGGTTTAATAGTCCATAGCCTTGCTTTATTTACCTAAGGGATGACCTCATAAGATTATTTAGCTAAGGGATGACCTCATAAGGTTATTTAACTAAGGGATGACCTCATAAAGTTCGGTCAAGCTCACAATTCTTAGTCTTATGGAAATAGTCAAGTCTACAATTCTTAGTTTTAGTCAAACCCACAATTCTAAATTAGTTCCACATTATTTAGTTATTCATCTCTATGTAAGGCTATAAATAGCCCACACTTCCAATGGTTTTAGGCATTCAATCAATAAATCAAATTTTGAGAGTTTTCTTGGTTTCTCCAAGACTTCTTGAATACCTTAGAATTTCTCTGGGTGTTCGTGACTTATCAATTTAGAATCACACTAGGTTGTGGCGTCTTTTACAATTATACTAAGGTTCGTTAACCACGTGATTAACGGGTTGAGGTCATCCACTCCAAACTTAGTGTCCTCTTGTCGATCCTGAACCTAATCTTTTACGGGTTTCATCACAAGGTTGGCGACGTTCGTATCACTTCTTTAATATTTTCTCCATTTAAAAAAATCAAAAGATAATTCAAAGTTAGTAATAATTTGTTTAGACCAAATAATTTAATAGGGAAAGAATTATTATTTAAAAATTATAATGATAACCATCATGCTATTTTTTAATGAAAAGTAAAGAAAAATAATTTACTAAATTAATAATGAAAATGACGTTACATTCAATGAAAATGATATAAAACCTAAATTATTTAATTTTGAAAGGAAAATATTAATTATTTACAACCAAAACAAACTAATTATTTATATGAAGTAATTTAATCAGAAGGATAAACATTTTATGGAAACAATAATGCCTCATTTAACAATAAGAATAATATAAACTACACCAAAAACAAACTAATTGTCTAAATATATTAATCACAACAATAAACTTTTTATCCAAATAATTATAGGACATTTAATAATTAATAAGAATAATATAAACGATAATTTTTTTAACGTACACATTAATTCCTTCTATAATATTGTAATTTAATGACGGGCACAAATATTTATTCAAAACTTTACGAATCAAAAGATAAATTAATTACATATCCCACATAGGGATTAATTCCTTACAATAGGTAATTTAATCAAAGGATAAAGATTTATTAATAGCTTTTAATAATAACAAAAAACACAAATACAAGATAATTTAGTGAGAAGCATAATATTAATTCAAAGGCCTTTATGAATGAAATAAGAAATATATCCAGACAGAAATCAATTATGTTGGGACATAAAAAATGGATAAATAAAATATTTTCGGCAGGGCAAGACATTTCATTCTCCTTACTAGCTACTTTTATTGATCGCACAACTCCTCCTTGCTTTCTCTTTCTCCGCCACTCCTCTGCCCACAAATCCTCTTTTGCTCCACCAATTCTCCTCCTCTCCCTATCTCCATCCGTATATTTGGCCCCCTTAGTTTGAATCGACTCTTCCTTTCTCTCATCTGTAGACAGGAAATGCCTCTGGCAAAGCTCAACGGGGTCTTCGTTCATTATCTTGTAACTTGGTTAGTGTCCTGATTCTTTATGTTTTCACTTTAAATATTTGGTTTCATGTTTATTGAAGTTGACATTGTTTAAATCGAAAATCAAGTTAAAAAATGGTATTAAAACCAATGTTACGAGGACAAGGAGATACAGACCATGCTCTATTCGTTTTTGTGCTTTTTTTGCCCCCTAAAGTGTCATTGCTCCAAATTTTTTGTTAGTGTATTCCTTTTTTTTTTTTAACCCTTGGAAGAATTTTTGGTGACTGAATTGGGCCCACATTGCCTATGCCAACCGGTCTTTCGTCAGTAGAACCAATGTTTTTAAACTCGGACCGGCCAGTGAACCGGAGAGGGGGGCGGTTCACGGTCCGATCGATCAGACCGGCCGATCGGTCGGACTGGCCGGTTCAACGATACTATCAAAGTTCTTGTGTTTGTTAAACCCAGAGGTCCTACAGACAAAAGAAATCCCTGCGCTCCTTTAATTAGACAAACTTCAAGTTGAAATAATATTGATTAAATAAAAAAAGCCGTATGAACTTTGAACATTTGAGCAGAAATTAGTTTTTGGTCACAGAAATTAGTTGAATAAAAAAAGGGCATACGGTTGCATACTATAATCATAAATCATAAATTAGTTGCATACGGTTACTGTCACAAACAATATCAATGGAACAAAAAAAGGGCATTCCAAATATTAATTCCAGAAAAATACAAAATTAAAAAACCAAACATGACTAATTTTATTAATTTGATACTTCATCCAAAAAATAACTTCTCCAAACATGACTGCCAAATAATTTATGATTCATAAACGGATGAAAATTTGGGGGAAAAAAGAAGAAAATACAAAAAAATCCACTAAAGATAATATAGAAAACAAAAATCAAGAAAAGGCAAAAATTAAACTTACCAAGATGCAAAGCTTTGGAGTCCCGTCTAAAAATAATAGTGTGCTGATCTTGTCGTGGATATTTGGATGTGGAAGGATGATGAAGAAAAAAAAATAGATTAACTGGAGATTGAAGGAATGGAGGAACTGAGAAAGTGAAGTGAAGTCAAGGACAAAATGAGAAATGGTGCCGTCTGTGCGTCTGTGCGGCTGAGAAAGAAAGTGAATTGAAGGAATGGTGCCGTCTGAAGCCAATGCTAGGGTTTTTTTTTTTATTTAATCTAATTTTATATTTTGATTAGATTAAGTAAAATTCTACACAAAAAAAAGCTTGTCCCTTGGTTGTAGATTGGTGATAAGCATACCTATTGTGATCATGAAGGCCCGAGTTCGAATCTTAGCTGCCTCTATTCTTGTTATTGTTTTCAATTTCAGGTCTATTGTTTGAAAATTTATGAACTGCCAGTTTACGGTTTAAACGGTTCGTCCGGTTCCTAGCGGTTTTCTATTAGTTTCCAGGTGTGATGCTGGACCGGATCGTTGATGCTACCGGTTTGCGGTCGGACCGGTCGAACCGGCTGGTCCGGTTCGGTTCTGAAAACATTGAGTAGAACAAGAAAAGGCGTTTGTTTGAACGGGAAAGTGGAAGAAATTCTGCCTAAACCAATTGAGACTTGAGAGTAGGAAAAGATGGCTGCGACGCCGAGTGCACCAGCGGGGAGCGCGAACATTGACGGAGTAGCACCCCCAGCTCCACCACTTCCGGGGACGGACATGACCGGAATATGCTTCAGGGACCAGCTATGGCTGAACACCTACCCTCTTGACCGAAACTTAGTCTTCGATTACTTTGCTCTCTCGCCATTCTATGAGTGGACTTGCAACAATGAACAGCTCCGTCTACGCTCCATTCACCCCCTTGATGCCTCCCATCTCTCGTAAGCTTCTTCCTCTCTCTCCGTCTCTGTCTCTGTCTCTCAATCCCGCACTCCCTAACCCATGTCTAGAATAGTTGTTGATGTTGATTGGCTCTTTAATTGGTTTTGGATGTCATGTTTGGTTGATACGCGGCTTGGTTATTTTAGAATGTACAGATTTTAGTGTGTGGATTCCCTATTTGTTAGTCTTAATATTTGATGGGGAGCTGGGGAATAATTGATGTTAATTATGTTTAAATTGTTGGAGAGAGAAAAGTTGTTTATAAATTGGTTGGTGATTTGAATGAGCGTTTAGGTTTTGTTGGTTAGCTTCGTTTTCTTTCGTTCCTTCAAATTATTCTTTTTCCCTGAGTATCTTTTCCTTTTTTGAATTTGGATGTGAAATTTAAACATGGTCAGCAATGAGTGCCCGGTTGAAGAAGCTAAGTGCATGAGATGTAGATGACCTAGTTAAAAATGATGCTTTTGGCAACTGTATGTTGATTGGTAATTTTATTCCTTATATCTCATTTTAGTCTAGGAAAGCTTGCAGGTATGAAGCACTATTGATATTTTGAGGAAAAGCAGGGCAATATTTTTAAGTTTAAGCATAACCAGAAGCGGTGAGGAACATGACAAATCCCTTGTATGACTATGTAGTGTGCTTGTCGCTATGCAGGAAAATGACGGGTACAGAGTACACCTTAAGTGAAGCTATGGAGCCCCATCTTTTTGTCATCCGTAAACAAAAGAGGGATGGCCCTGAGAAAGTAATCCCGATGCTCACTTATTATGTCCTGGATGGGTCAATATACCAAGCTCCTCAGCTTTGCAATGTGTTTGCATCTCGACTTGTTAGTATCTTTTAGCTATTATCTTGTTTTTTTGTTGGTAAATGTATGAAGCAATGATCTTGCAATTGTGGCAACTTATGCAAATTCATTCATTTGGAAAACTGTTCTTGAGTTTCTGTTATCCAGTTGGATGAGATTTTTGATTGGTTTGGACGTGTATTCTTCTTTTAACATTTTGTCCTGAGGCTGTGCTTGATAGCGGAGAGTGAAGTGAGGGGGGTAGTGTTCCTTTCCTTTTTCTGAATTATGCAAAAACTGGAAAAAACAAAATCTTTTAGTCACATTTGGTTTGGAGAGCTTGCAAAGATTGGAGCACATAAACTTTCAAGTATCTGCTTTATAAATGGCTATACCTGTATTTCACTTAAATATTTTGTAGTTTGCTGGCTACCGTGGTGTAATTCTTGATATTACTTGTTCCCAAGTTGATGTTGCAGTTGGACACATTCAGGAACACCTCTGTCATGTTACTCTGGGTTACATATGTTGAGGTTGAGCCCATGCCAGACTTGCCTCTCATGCATTCAGAGTAACTCGCAATTAATTGAAATATAACATTATTTTGTTAATTTGGGCTGTGATTTTTTCCACTGAGAATCTTGCTTCCTATTTTTGGATTTAGTATAGGTTTAAACCACCTGCATGGCGGGATTGGTAGTTCTTGGATAAATTTTTTTCATGTTTTCAGTTGTAATGAATTATGTCTGTTTGTTCTTTCTTTTTGTTAGTTATGCAGATTTAGGAATTGTCCTATCCACCTCCCACTATGGAGGTCTCATTCTAGTGTTATGTGTATAGTATATGCCATCTCCATTTGATTCTCTTACGATATAATTTACCATAGCCATTGCACACTATGTAAGCGAGTCATAGCATCCGCCCTTTATTCTTTGAGTGAGGAGAAGCTACAAGTTATTACTAGTTGCATGTTTTTTCCATTGACTGAGGAAAAGCTACAAGTTTTCAATGTGTCAGTCTGAAATTGTCATAGCATATTATTGTGGATTTTGATTGATGATTTTTAAGTTTGTACTGTATATTGTAACCTTATGAATATATTTATTCTTCCTCCTTTTTCAATACCATCTTAAATCCAGTTGTTTACTCATGTGGCAGGGACGGGCACTGTATCATATATCAAAAGCCTTCAATACTGTAGCCTCAAAATTGGAAAAGATTGGATATGGTATCTTGGCATTTATATTTCTACATTTGATGGTATAAGATGCTTGTTGTGTTAATCATTTGGAATCTGGAAACTCAGATGGAATAATCAGTATATAATTCTTCTAGGAATCTTTTAGCAATTTACTCCTCTTCTGAGGTCTGAACTATGTCAGCACTGTGGTCTTGCGACACTACAAAATCCTGTGATTAAGTGGCAGTAGTGGCTAGATTTATGCTTAGCTAGAAATGGTTCTGTATAATTTTGGCACATATTTTTTAGAATTTAGTAGTAAGTTACCATTTCATCTATTATCTTCACTTTTTCAGTTATAATGGACCTGCTTGGTAGTTTATGGGGATTGCCATTTCCGTTGAATTCTTGTAATGTGTTGATGCAGTTGATGCTGAAAATGAGACAACTGCATCTGAATCAAAGGCTTCTAAAGAGACTATTGACTTCAAAGAAATTAAGCGGGTAGATCACATTCTTGCATCACTACAACGCAAGGTAATCTATACGTGTTTGAACACAGATTATACATGCCTCATTGTTCATGATAATCACTCGTGTCTAGCTTGAAAGGGATCAGTATGTTAATGGGAATTACAGTTATCTGTAGTGCCTGAACATTTACTTTTATGGCTCTGCTGATGGGGAATGCTAAATGGGCACGAAACATTTGCTTCCATGAAAAGCATCTAATGCATAAAATGTGTTGGGCAAATATATTAAATCGGAAAAGTCATTTTTTTAAAAAATTTTGTGTGTTTTGGCAAGATTTGAATATTTCTTCTCTTTTGCAACTGTACTGGTGACTCATGTTGTTATAGTACTAAAGGAGCACAATGAGTGAGTGAGATGTTAAAAAGTATGAAAACTTAGTTTGACAAACATGGGACTTATGAGGAAAGGATAGAGGAGAGTTGAATGAAAAGAGTGAATATCTATTGTAACAAAAGTTACGGTAACAAGTTTCAGTTGCTTGAATTCAGACTCTTGGCAAGTATCTTGCACCTTAGAAACATATTTTTAGATTTATGAAAAAGTATTGCAGGTAAATCTCATGACAAACCCTATTTTAAGTTGTAAATGAATAATGCAGCAGACAGATTCTTGTCAGCTTGGTGAAGTTTAGTGTTATAAAAATTTATAACCATGCTTGTATATGCAATACATCATAAGGCGTTGATACGTTTTTGCTACCATTTAGATTTAAATATGTACAGCAATCTTCTTTGACACACATATTCAACAACATGACTAAACATTATTCAAGAGTTTTCTTTAGGTTTAAAGCATTTCTAGTACTAAAATGTTGTTTATTCCAATTTTGCAGCTACCAGCAGCCCCTCCAGCACCTGCTTTTCCAGAGGGTTATACTCCCCCAACAACTGCAGAAGGAGAGAAAGGTTCCGAAGACCAACAAGCAGAACTTCAAACAGCTACCTTAGATCCCATTATAGACCAAGGCCCATCTAAAAGGGTGAAATTGTAGAGAGGACACAGACGCATATACCAAAAGCAATCCTAAATTAGTTGTTAGTTTAATCTAGTAAACTATCCTTAACCCTTCGTATCAACTGTAGTTTTGCTCCTCACGCATTCACACGCGCATGCAGGCACACACTTCTTCCTCTTCACGTGTGATATTTGGTACAAGAGTACCAGAGATTGGTGCCACCAAGAAGAGTACTTCTGTAAGATAATATTAGATGATATGTTATTATTTATCAATTTATTTGACTATGTTTTTGAAATGCACCTTCAGACCATGGTGGATTATTTGAATTTTCTTTGCTGAAATATGTTGAAGTATCACTTTCCGGGGATGCTGGGCTGGTGCAACTGTGCAAGGTATTAGGGTTACATTTGTTCCCATGCAACTATAAAACGTGGTAACTGTCTTTTTTTTTTTTTTTTTTTCTTTAATAAAACTAGGAGGTGAAAACCATGCTGCGCATAGTTTGAGGATTATAAAGTGTCCACCAAAGAGAGATTATGTGCTGTTGAATTAAAAAGGGTGGAAAAAAATCGAAGAATAATGATTGGAGTGATAATGCATTTAGACAAACAGGAAATGAAGAGGAAAAATCAGATGCTTGCCTCCAAAATCCTGGCAGAGTGCTCTATTTCAGCAAAGAATTACTTTTACCATGAAGCAATGGTGCAGAAAACAGCTACTTCAACAGAAAAATTTATTTTGTCGATGATATTATTACAAAAGAAATTATTCATTGCATTCTATATATCAGTTGAAGAACCAAATAAGCCAAGTCCTGTTTTTCAAACATTCAGAGGTTGATTGTGATGCCAGTCAGAGAATGTCTATTATTTGTTTGTGAAGAGGCTATCTGCCTCCTATCCAAAAAAAAAAAAGAGGCTTTGCAAGTAAAAGACTCAATACTTCTATTTATGCAAAAAATTAGCTATCCACAAACTTAGAGTGATAATGCATTTAGTTTTACATAAAGAACACCAAGTATTCATCATGTTTACTTCAAATTAAACAAAGCGAGACCTGCTACTTGTACATCATTAGCTTTCGATACTTGTAAACTCTTTCTGTTGGGCGGTAAAGGATGGCTCGTAGAAGAAAACTCGCATGGCAGACGATGTTCCAACGTAGTATAAATGCACATCCTCATCGAACGGCATCATGGATATCACATAAGCACCAACTTTAGGGTGTTCAAACATCATGAATATCCAACAAGCTCAATGCACAGCGATCGCACGAGGACTTCCAATAGGTAGTAGCTAGTTGGCGAAAAAGGAGACACACTTCTGCACTACCAACTTGAGAATAAGGACTTTCAAGCACTGTTTTCTCAATGAACTAATGAGCAAAACTTACATTACCAAACATTATGATGAAATAGTTTTATGGTGAATTCAAGAATAATTTTCATAAGCTGAGCCAATCCAGAGAAGCACAAATACAAGTGTAAGTGTGAGTGTGTGCGTGCATGCGTGTGTATCAATACACCTAACGTCAACTGCATTGATAAATATTGCAACAAATTCACCCCCAAACTTAAAATATGAACCAAGACCAAGCAATAATGTCTATTTTCTCAAATTCACAGTAATATCCAAAGCCACATAGTTTGACAAAAATAATACAGCTGCAGATTAAAAAGCAAACTGTGAATAGCACATAATTCCCAGACTATTCCCCCTCACTCAAATGATTAATCATCACTTCCTCTATGCAGCAAACGTACATACATTTTAGTTCAAACTGCAAACATTTTAGTCCAAGATTAGAACACACACACACACATCTTTCCCTAAGCAAAGATTATTACACAACGTAAGAAATGTCAACTTGCTATACCTCAATCAATCCTTCAATAGCAATCAAATTTTAACTTTGAGCAAAATTTGTAAAACGGGAAAAAAAGGAAAAAATACAAAATGAAAAACCAGAACTTTATTGACTCACCTGATAATCAGAATTCTAGAACACAAAATTCCTAGGCTTTTGCACATGCAAGAACCCCTCACTCGGAGTCAAGAAACCAGCCAAAATCCTCAACTTTAACAACTGAAAATACAAATAACAAAAACAAAAGACCACAATTTTTTGTACACATTCTTGGCCTCAGATGCATGTGGAGCAGTGCTTATGACAGTTTAAAGTAAGGCTTATGTCTGTTATCAAAAGTCAGGCAGAGATGAGGGTATCGCCATGGCTGCAGATCCAGTTGCATTTGAAGGGGAAAAATGAACCTTAAATGTCATCAGGGTTGCCTTGCCAAGATACGGCAATCAACTTAAAGCCTAAGATGCATCTAAAAAAACTAAAATTGTATCGTCATATTGCAAAAAACCTATGATGTTCCTTATTTCTCCCTGTTTTGATTCTAAAATCTTCTAACTAATGTCTTGAATTTTCGTGGCACTATACTTTTATTATTATCTAAAACTATTTTTTTTTTAGTGGTCTTAAATTGTCCAATAGATCTGAAAGTTGTCATTAAAATCAATCAGTAGCTAAAAGACAACAAAATGAACTCCATTTAGGATATGATTCCTTTTCTAAAAAGAACAATTTTTGTTTTTTGTTTCCAACAAATTTCAGAAGTGAAAAAGAATGTGAGAAATAGTCCACTATTGAATGCACATAGATAAAACTAAGACGTTAAAAAATGGAGCAGCACAGCAGTCATTTTGCAATATTAAGCAGGCCAACTAACTCAAGTAGAGTTTATTAAAACCTGAACATAAGAAGTACAAAAGATGGAGAATCAAGACCAATGAAGACATAAATGATGGAAAAGGAGACTGAAAATATGCTTTCTCATTATCCCTGAAGCATGTTTTGATCAATTTCAAGTGGATTCAGAGCTTTTGACATCACACCTAATTCCTCCTGCAGAAAACTTGCATACATACACACTCATCATCTCCTTTTGATAGTAGATTGTCAGAAGATGGAGGAAAAGTACAGCAATAGAGAACATTTTCTTACAGGCCAAACATTTTCAACTGCCCAGATACCAATGGAACAGATTAATAAAGCAAAGTCTTAGGCTTAGGAGGAGAATCCGTCATAAAGTGAAAGATCAGACCACGAGAATATAACTATAAATGGAGAAAGAAACAGAAATAGAAAAAATACTCACCCATGGCACAATTTTCTGGTCTCTTCAAATGTTCAGATTTATAGCAATTTGCAGTTGACAAGCTGGCAATAAGTGACCTGCATAGGTTTTCGTTTGTATTCTTATCAATCCAGTCTGATAATTATAGTCTAAACTTCAAGAAAGAAATGAATAGGACATCTGCTAACTATCAAATCAGGCACAAGCATGACAGCTATGAAGAGATAATCTAAAGATGGGGAAGAAGATTCTTTAGTTTTTCTTTTTGTTGAGTACGGGAGCAGATATGTCAAGAAGAAAAAGAAGAAGAAAAGAGAATCTATTACCTCTGCAAAAACTTGTAACAATCCAAATAAAACATTACCTATGCTAAAAAAAGGACATAACTGCAGGGAAAAAAAATCTGAGTCAGGCAAACTGTCCTTAAGCAAATTAAAGAGCCCAAGACTTGAAATTCATCTGATATTGCAGAAGATTACCAACTATATAAAATTAAAACGAACTAATTGAACATTTGCCTAAATGATTGACCAAAATGCCAAAAAACTGATGAAAAAATATGTTGGGATATGCAACTTTTCCTACATATTTTGCTAGATTATGTTTAATATCAAAATAATTTAGTTATTAGAAAAATAAGGATATTTGTTAACCAAAGATCATGTTGGTTTGTTAACAGATATTTTAGATAAGATTTGCTAGTAGAAAGAGATTATATTTTGTTGAGATTTTTAGGATAATTGTTAATGGGATAGTTTGCTAGTTTGTTTCATGTAATCACTATAAATAGTGAGTTGATGAATGTAAAACATAAGCTCATTTTCCACCTTCAATACAAGTCTCTTATAAGCTTTTTTTGCAACACTAAGGTGTTGTTTCTTAGTTCATGCCCCAAAAAACCAACAAAGTGGTATCAAGAGCCTATATCTTAAGGGCCTGAGTCTTTTTTTTTAGAGTGATGCATTGGTGAGGATCCTTTATAAGTTCAAAGCCATGACAGGAAAGAACTTTTTGTCAAATATTTCAACTTTTAGTGGTGAAACTTACCAAATTTGGGCCATAAAATTTTGGACTTATTTGGTAGTCAATGATCTACGGGATATGGTGGAGACGAATTTTGTTTCATCAGCATTTGAAGAGCTGATGGATACACAAATTAGAGACCACAGAGTTGCAGTTAGACAGAGATCCAAGGCCAGCATTCACATATCAGTTTTTGATGCCGTTTTCACAAAGATAATGGCTGATGATTTGATTGAGAATAAATTATTCTCAATTAAAATAAAAAGGAGAAGTTTCACTATGAATTGGTCAGATTTTAACAATTCTAAAGTGGAACATGATGATGAAATCAAGAATTCAGATCCTGAAAAATTCAGGAGGAAATCATTGATAAGTCAGGAGATATCAAATTGATTCCTGATATTTATCAAGATTATAACATTTCTGTGTTTGGGTCTACAGATTTTGATGGTGATGGCAAAATAAAGAACCATGCAGAATTTCATATTTTCTGTATAGGTTCAAACATCGTCAAAAGATGTTCCATTTTAAACCTATGAGAAGGTTATTTGGAAACATTAAAAAAAATCATCTTTTATGTGGAGTTTGGCATGAGAAGACAAAAGAAGAAGTTCATTGCAAGGCTAATCATCAATTGCAGAATTTCTTACAAAAGTCTCGTCCAAAACAAGATTCAAAGATTTGAGAAGACAATTCAAAATCTGCAGCAAAAGTGGCAAGGAGGAGTGTTGGGATATGCAACTTTTCCTACATATTTTGCTAGATTATGTTTAATATCAAAATAATTTAGTTATTAGAAAAATAAGGATATTTGTTAACCAAAGATCATGTTGGTTTGTTAACAGATATTTTAGATAAGATTTGCTAGTAGAAAGAGATTATATTTTGTTGAGATTTTTAGGATAATTGTTAATGGGATAGTTTGCTAGTTTGTTTCATGTAATCACTATAAATAGTGAGTTGATGAATGTAAAACATAAGCTCATTTTCCACCTTCAATACAAGTCTCTTATAAGCTTTTTTTTGCAACACTAAGGTGTTGTTTCTTAGTTCATGCCCCAAAAAACCAACAAAATAGTATGCAAATATGCTGTTATCTAGAACAATGTACAGACAATTTCTTTATAAACTGAACTTCTGTGGTGGAATTGTATAAACTCAAAAGGTACTCGGTAAACTACTGAAATTCACAATTAAACAACATAAAGCAATCCGAGAAATGGGGAAATTTTCAAAAGGAAGAATTTTTGTATAGAACAAAAGCAAAAGTGCCAGACTTACCGCCGTGATGAAGCTCTGAACTCTTTACCCCTCTCAAGGAAATTCTGTAGTGTTTCTTTTTGCTGGTAATTGATTGAATTAAGTGCCTGAAAAGTGAAGAAGTAGTTTGGGCAGCTGAATGTTTTAGTCATCAACAGGTAATAAAAGTCATAAAAAAGAAAGTTAAAGAACATGCAAAGCTCCATGGATCTGGTCCGCACAAAATACAGAAACACAAGGAGGTAGTAGAATTGAATGCTTATCCTCAAACACCAATTCGTTTGTTCCTTTATTGACTTGGATGATGTTTCTCTGAACATAATCCAACATCATTCCAAACCTGCTTAATGAAGTTTCGATCATGACAATCCTGTGCTCAAGTTCTTCAATAATCTGGCCTGATCAAGCAAGTAAAATACCGGAAACTTAGAAGAAAAAACTTGTATATCCTGGAAAACAAGCATGTTTGGACAACTTGCAATATAAAGTTGCTTATATTCTCATATCCAATTGAAAGTCCAAAGGGGAAGGCAGAATCTTCAGAACAAAATTGTTCTTTCAAAGTTGATGATACTATTTAATTGATTTATTCAAAAAAAATTTTAGAATTAGAATAAGTGTACGGATGATGACCTAGGAAAATTATTTTCTCACTTTTCAACTATTTGCATTTCTATTTAAATTATATTTGTATAAAATTTGCATTCATTTAGTGATTTACTTGTTAAGTGATAAATGAGTTTCTCTTGCTTGTTTATTTTAACCTTTGAGTGATTAATTTCTTTAAAATTGTTGATTTCATGACTTATTAGTGAATTTGCGAAACCCTAAGAGAGTATAAGTTGAGATATTAGTGAAGTTAAGAAAGATTTTGAGAGTTAAAAGAAGGTTAGAAAAACTAAGGGTTGATAGCGAGAAACTTAAGTGGAAAACACTATTTAGGACACTATTCATAGTTGACTTAAAAACCTTTCTTGTGGCTAGTATGTTAGCTTAAAAGCAACCAAAATTCCTTCATTTTCTCCTCTTAGTTAGCCGAAAATTTGAGAGAGGGAGAGAGAGAGAGAGAGAGAGAGAAACTTCACTCTTTTTGAAATTCTTGAAAATTCAAACTTCCCTTTCACCAATCTGCTTGAACTATTGGAAGATCTTGCCATCTTCTTAGGTTAATTTTGCTAGGGTTTGGAGCTTTGAAGAGGTAAGTGGCTAATCTACTTTATTATTTTGCTTTTCAAGTAATTTTGGACTAGATCTTGATAGATTTGTAGACACCAAATTTTTGTTTTTAACTTTATTTGTTTAATTAATTTAATCTTAGCTTTATTTGTTTCAATTTTAGGGTTTTCATTTATTATTATTATTTTTTATTATTTTATTATTTTATTTTTATTTTTGTTATTGTTATTTATTTTATTTTTGTTCTAGCGTATTTTTGGCTTCACATTAAATTTCAGGAAAAACAAAAGAAAAAGAGAAAAGGAAAAAGGAAAAAAAAAGGTGAAAATGACAAGTGGGACTGCATGCACTTGGACAAGTGTCTTTTCTATGTTTTAGACAACTAAGCACCTAAGGGGTGAGGTGTTAGGGACATTTGGGAAGTTAAGGAATTTTTGGGGGTCAAAGTAGAATTTTGTGAGGGCTAAAAGATAAAAAACAGAAAAGGGTTTCGTCTGAGGAGAAGCTTGGCCGGACAACAAAAAAAAAAGAGAAAAAAAAAGAAAACTGGAAAACTCGGGAAGCTTGGCGACTGAGAGTCAGAACTGAGAGCAAGAAAATAGAAAAGACTCAGGCTGAGGAAAAGAAATGGGGGAAAGAAAGAAAGCTAAAGGGAGGCTTACGGCAGAAAAAGAAACAGAGCAATGGGGAGGAAAAAGAAAAGCTTGGTCTGTGAGCTTGAAAAACCAGAGAGGAGTCACGGACTGGGGGTAAAAAAAAGAAACAGAGGGAAAAATGATTGGCGGTTTGGGCGAGGAAGAAAACATGGCAAGGCGAAAGGGTAAAAGGGGCGGCGGTCTGAGAGCAAAAAAGAGAGGAAAAAATGCAAGGGAGGACGAAAAAAAAAGAAAAGAGCTGAGAGGGCAGTGACGGCAGAGTATTAGGGGAGCTACGAGAGAGGTTTTATGGAGGCTTCATCTGAGAGTAAAAAGGAAGAGGGCTAGGATGAGAGGTTGGCGACTGTTGGTGAGAAAGAGCAAAAGAGAGGGGCAGGCCGCCAGGTTGATTTTCCAATTTTGACTTCCCAACCACCAAGAACCCTGATGGCTGTCCCCAGCTGCGCTAGCGCCTGTCGGCCGTTCGAGTGCCGTTCGGGTCCCGATTTTTCCGGCCGTCTGCCTCGTCCGGAGTTCCCTACATCTGGCGCCGCTCGATTCTCCGCCAAGGCAAACTCGGTGACTCAGGGATTTTCAGCTGGCAGCCTGTTCTATTCTCTCATCTCTAGGTTTCCGCTGAACTTCGGCAGGCAGCGGAGCACCAAAGCTCGGAGGAACTGCAGCAACATCGGCGTCGCTCAAATCGTCGCGGCCTCGTGGTCAGACAACCAGCAGGGGGTTCCCCTTCTCCCACTCTAGCGGCTAAGGCCGTCGATGCCGCTGCCTCAGCCTTTGTCGTTGTTGAGTCTGAGACCGGCGTCGTGGAGGAGAAATGGCTGTAGAGGGTGGCGAGCAGAGGCAGACCGAGAGGGCAATGGGCCATGTCATGCTTGAGCCTGTCGACGGTCCTTTGCTGATTGAACGTGACAAGATGAAGCCTGAAAGGAAGCAGAGGACTGCAGGAACCGTTACCGACCGGAGCCGCCATGGCCACCGTCAGAATCTACCACCATCGCCTGAGAATTTCATCGGGAAAAAGTACTTGCTGTGAAGGTATCTTCCCCTTCCCTTAAATTTCAGTTTTCTTTCAAGCCCAAAAACCGGAAATCACAAACCACATCTTTTGTGAACTTGTTCAAGCAATGCTCCTGTGATTATACTCCACTTTTGGATTGTATATGCTTTTATGTGTCGATTGGACTGAAATCGCTTGTTTTGACCAATTTTGGGGCCGATTGTAGTCTATATTGAGCCCAGATTTGCTGAAAATTTAAATGCCCCTGACCTGTCTGATAAAATGCCCAATTGAGAATCCTACTTGAAGATGATCAGCCCGCGTTTTGTGTGTAAGGAAAATGAACATTTGGTTGGCTTATTGTTTGTCCGAGCATAATAAAAAGCAGTGTTTTTGAGAGGCTTTGATGTGTTGTTTCTTTGTGTCTTTCCCTGCCCTTATTTCTTTCTTCATGCTTTTCTATGTTTGAATTTGAATTGATGTCACGAGAAGGAGTGTCGTGAGTTCATTGTCCATTGGGAGTTGTTGGAATTGAAACCAAATTCCTGGTGTTGTTGAAGGCTGAGATAATAGCTGATGTTAGCTCGGTGGAGAAGATGATTATTTGTTTGAAGGTTTGATGTGTGATTGGACGTTGTCTGCGTCTGGCATGAATTTCATAAGAAGTATTGTTCCAGAAATGTCCTGACTGCATGATCTTCCATTTTTTTTGTTCTTTGATTGACCTTCGAGGGTTTGTACCTTGCCTGTTGTGTTGAGTTTTTGGTGCTTAAGGGAATGGGTTAATAAATTTGATGATTTGGTTTGAGATGGCCTAAGTTGCTTCGATTGTATATGCTGCAAAATCATAGAAATCAGTGATGAAGAAGAGTTTCTGTGAACCAAATAAACCTGAAAATTGCAATTTAACCTCTCAAATTTTGTCTAATTTCATTGCGGCCCAAAACTAAAAATATCGAATTGATTTGACCCTTTTAAATTTTAATGTGGATTGTTGAGATTTGTTTGTTTGTTTCCTGGGCTTGCAGTTGGATTTGGGGGTTAAAAGCCCATTCATTTTGTTGGGTTTGTTTGATAAAAATAATGTTTTGCCCCGCATCTGTTTGTTAGATTCTTTTTGGGCTTAGGAAGCTGAAATAAGAAATAGGCCCAGAAGCTTGTCTACTTAAGAAACCAGAGAACGATTCTGCAAATCAGTCCCCGGATTTTTCCTTAACTATATTGTGGCCCTTGAAATTTTCATTTTCCTTCAATTGGGTCCCTAGTGTAATTGCAAATAGGCCCCTGCACTTTATTTTTCTTTAATTTTTACCCCAAAACTTTGTTAATTTTTGCAATCAAGTCATTTCTTCCTCTTAAATGTGAGTTGTCTACATGATTTAATTGATACAATTTCATGTTCGTCTTTAACCTTTGTGATTATTTGCCAAATAAATTGGTGCCTTGACCTTTTCTTTTATTTTGGAGGATAAATAAGCGATTTCACTCCATTAAGGCTCCGACTCAAGGGAGGTATACCTTATCCCTTATTTCTTACTTTATTTGACTCTATGTGCCTTATGTGCCTTTACATGCTTGATTGTATGCCTCTTGGATTTTTTATTCATTTCATTTATTTATTTATTTACTTTATGGGCTTTGTACATTTATTTTAGTTCAATTTGATTATTTGAAAGGCACTTGAATGCCAAATTTGTAATAGTTAGGTATTTATTTTAATTACTTAATTCATTTTCCCTTAGATTGTAATAGGGCCTCCCCAAGTGTAATAGTTAGGGGTTCCTTTACTTCATTTGCCTTGCGTGATTTGCATGCCTATGTGTTATGTGTTACTTGCTTTTATTAGGCTTTTGCATCTAGTCGAGCATGCTAAGTGTTACGTGCTGCGTGTTTACGAGTGTTTGACATGTCTACTCGCTTTCCATGGCCATGAATGAATGTGATGGATGAATGTACGTTTCCACTAGTCCAACGCTAGTAGGAATTCATAGAATGGGCTAGTCCAACGCTAGACCCTTAGGGATTTCTCTCGTGAGTTCATGCTTGCATGTTTCACTTCATTTCATGCATTTTTTTTAGTTTTAATCATTTGGCATGCTCCTCGAACCCCTTTTCCCCTCATTTTAGGATTTTTGCACCTCATGCTAGTTATAGAATACATTTGCTTGAGAGTCCCCTTTCGATAAGGGAAACGAGCGAGTGTGGCTCCAAAATAGCCTTAGCACGCTAGTTCTCCTTTCTAATCAAAGGGAAAATTAAAGTCACAAAGTTAGGACTCCCCGTTCCCGTTTTGATTGCATTCCTCTAGGGTTCATGCATTTCATTTATTCACTATCCAATACACTTCTACTTTATATTCTATCCCTTTTTTCCACATTCTCACTTCACACTACTTTTGGACGTTTTCACTTAACTTTTCACACTTTATACCATATCACTAGCACACATGCACTTTACGTTATTT